TGTCTGCAACAGACCCACCCCGCGTCTCCAAGGGCACGTCACCCACATTTGCGTCACCGGTAGAATCCTCCCTCCTCGTCTCTCTGATCTGCGCCTGTGCCTCCTGCACCCCGAGCTGCCGCTCTCCACGGTGCTCCCGGCAGTGGGGCATCTGAGCCCAGAGCGGCCTCCTCCCGCCTGGCAGGCAGCCCTGGGCCCCAGGGGGAGCAGAGGGAGGCAGCCCTGGGCCCCAGGGGGAGCAGCGGGAATCCGGATCCCTTCAGCGCTGCCCTGACTCCTCTCCCGGCCCCCAGAAGTCCCGGGCAGACGCGGGGAGCCCGATCCCTCCGAGGTTGCAGTCTCCTAGCATAGACCCAGCACAAGGAGATCTAACCGTCCCGCTCCCAAGTCAGGTGCACCCACGTGACAGGTTGACCAGAAAGCAGGCGCCCGGAAAGCAGCCTGAAATCTCCGGTCTCTGCCCCTTGGGAACCACACACCCCCCCCATGGAGGTGGCCTTCAGGTCATGAGGTGTGACCAGCCTTTGGGTGAGGGTGTGCCCGTGGGAAACTGCAGTCACGCGAGCCCCAGAGGCTCATCAGTTTCAGAGGAGACACTCCCTTCCTGAGGCCCGTTCCTCTCTGTGGGCAGCTTTTCCCCAGTCTGCACCAACAAGCCTCCGGAGGTGGGGCTGGCCCCGAGGGCCGGTGCCCCCAAGCCGCGGTGGGTTTTGTTCCCTCCGGGGCCAAGCCCCTCTGTTGATTTTGTCACAGCAAACGTTTCCCGGCTGGTGTAGCTTGCCGAGCTTTCTCTGAATATGCAGACAGCTGCATGTTTGAAATTGCCGAAGACGCCACAGGTGTAGTCACAATGACCTAGGCGCTGGACCGGGCGGGGTCCACCCTTCCTGGACTCTGCCTGCTGCTGGGGGCGGCCCTGCTGGGCAGGCTGGCACTGTGTTCCTTATTTCCAGTCTGGCCAAGGACACGTGCTTTATTCTGTATGTGCTCAACCACCTCACACTGGCTGATTCCTCAAGGTGGATGAGGCGTTTGGAGCCTGTAAAGTAAAGTTCGGGGCTCCGCCAGCTGGCCGCCCGTGGGCATGCGCACGGGAGCCCACGCTGTCCTGGTGCCCAGGGCGGGCTTTGCAGCGCCTGAGCTCGTGGCCTCATGGCATGCTCCATCCCTTCTCCGTGCAGATTCCGGAACAGTTCGGTCCCATCCGGACGGTGGCTGAGGGCAAAGGGAACATCATCTTGGTCGGCACCACCAGGAACTCCGTTCTGCAGGGCACGCTGTCGGGGGACTTTGCCCCCATTACTCAGGTGCGTCGAGGCTCAGCGGCCCGGTCCCTGCGTCTCAGTGCCCCGTGCTCCAGGCTCCGTGGCCGCCACACCTACTCGGTCCGCCCTCCCGGCTCCCCGATGTTGCCGCTGTGTCTCACAGCTCCCCCTTTGTCTTGCTTCCTTGTAGGGTCACACTGACGAGCTCTGGGGACTGGCCATCCACGCCTCGAAACCCCAGTTCTTGACCTGTGGGCATGACAGGCATGCCACTCTCTGGGATGCAGCGAGGCACCGGCCCGTCTGGGACAAAGTCATAGAGGTAGCGTGCCCACGGCATTGTCATAAAAACTCGCCTGGGAGGTGGCCCTTTAGTTCGTTGGCAACAACTTGATAGAGATGGGCCAAAGCAAGTGACTTACCTCGAGAATTGCGTTGCTTGTACGTTGGCCTCCAGTGGCCTCCCCCGTGATCCCCTGTGCTGCTGAGTGTTGCCCCAGTGCGTTAGCCGTCCCGAGTGCTTGGGGGGCTCCCAGTCTCTCCACAGGCCGCATGCTCAGCACCCCTGCAGGGCGCCTGGCCGCTTTGCACTGAGACCCGCGGGCGGCTCCTTTGTCCCTCCGCCTGGAGTGTGAGGGCCAGCCCAGCTTCGCTCCAGAGCCGGCCTCTCCGGGGCCTAGGGACAGGCGCTCAGGCGGCGTGTGCTGGCCTCAGTGAGCTGCCGGGGTTCAGAGGCGCAGACCCTTTCAGTGGCACCTGGCGCGCTTGCCTAGGGGATGAGGGCATGTGGTCATGTCCGGCGTGGGCAGCGGCCGAAGTGCGGCCCTGCAGGGGTGGGCTGTTGGCAGGTCGCCTGCACAGGCGCGGCTGTCTGCTGGTGCAGTTGTTCTGAGAAAGCGTTCTCTTGGCGAGGGTTCATGGTTTTGTGAAATTGTTGCCCGTTGTTAGATCAGTCACTTCCAAGGTGTGCTGGTGAGTTTGTAGGGGCTGGTGATTCCTCATGGCCCCCAGTCTCCGCACCCTACCTCTGGCCCGGGCCTGGGGATTTTCCTTTCTGTAGCTGCTTTAATGATTGTGTTCATCGTTTCTCCCTCTACACCCTAGTTTCTGGCCTTACGAGGCCTCCACCCCAAATTTTCTACTCCAAGTTTCCACCCCTGTCCTCTGCACTCAGCCGCCCGCACTCAGCCACTGCACTCAGTCACTGCACTCAGTCACTGCACTCAGCCACTGCATTCAGCCACTGTACTCAGCCACTGCACTGAGCTGCCTGCACTCAGCCACCCGCACTCAGCCACTGCACTCAGCCACTGCACTCAGCCACTGCACTGAGCTGACCACACTTAGCCACTGCACTCAGCCACTGCACTCAG